TGCTGCTGCAGGGGCCCCTGCTGGCAGCGTTGCTGTTGATGGGAGACGATGGGCTGCAGCAGCAGCAGCAACTCAGCTGCTTGATGGGGGCCTCTGGTTGTCGCTGTGGGGGTTGCTGCAGAGGATACAGAAGTAAAACTGCTGCTGCTGCTGTTGCTGTTGCTGCTGCGCTTGCTGCTGTTGCTGATGCTGTTGCTGTTGCTGCTGCTGATGCTGTCGCCACTGATCTGCTGCTGTTGCTCCTACTGCTGTTGTTGCTGCTACTGCTGCTGCTGCCTCTGCTGCTGCTTCTGCTGCTGCTGTTGCTACTCTTGTTGCTACCGCCGGAGAGCCACCAGCACAGTCGCATTGGCAGCAACAGCAGCAGCAGCAGCAGCAGCAGCAACAGCAGCAGCAGCAACAGCAGCAGCAGCAGCAGCAGCAGCAGTTTATCTGTGTCTGTTGTCTCTGCAGCATATCTCCTATAAACGAGTTATCAGCTTTCGGCTGCTCCCTCGCGGGGGGCCCCCTGGGGGGCCCCCCTGGGGGCCCCCTTTCTGAGCTGCAGGGGGGCCCCCCTGGGGGCCCCCCCCCAAGGGGGCCCCCCCCATCTCGATTGGGTACTTTAGTTTATGGTTTAGGGCGGGGATTGGCGTGGGATGCTGCAGCAGAAGGAGACAGGTTTGCTGCTGCTCAGCTGCTGCATCTAGCTGCTGCTCTTCCTGCTGCTGCTGCTGCTGCTGTATGCGGTGATGCGCCGCTGCTGCAGGCAGCAGCAGCAACAGTCCGACGGAGGCTGCTGCAACGCTGCAGCAGCAGCAGCAGCAACAGCAACAACAACGACAGCAGCAGCAGCAGCAGCAGCAGCAGCAGCAGCAGTGGCTTGGAGCTGGCAGAGGCGCAGCATATCGCTTGCTGCTGGGTTGCTGTTTCGCGTTTGCTGCTGCTGCTGCAGCCGACGCTTGATGCTGCTGCTGTTGCGGTGTATCCGCAGCTCTCTGCAGCAGAAGCTCGCTGTCTTCTTGACTATCGCAACAGCATCAGCAGCAGCAGCAGCAGCAGCAGCAGCAGCAACTCAAACCACGCTGAGTTGCTGCTCCCCGATATATTAGCCCCTCTGCAAGCCCTTACGCCTGTTGCTGCAGCAGATGTAGCAACAGCAGCAACAGCAGCAACAGCAGCAACAGCAGCAGCAGCAGCAGCAGCAGCAACAGCAGCAACAGCAGCAGCAGCAGCNACAGCAGCAACAGCAGCAGCAGCAGCAGCAGCAGCAACAGCAGCAACAGCAGCAGCAGCAGCAGCAGCAGATGTATCAGAGGTTCTGCAGCAGGAAGCAGCAGAAGCCCAGGTGTATTTACAGCGCGTCCGGCGGGAGCAGCAGCTGTCTGGTGTTGCTGCTGCAGCTGCTGCTGCTGCTGCTAGGACGAAGGACCCCTTTGAGCAGCAGCTGCTGGAGACAGCAGCAGCAGCAGCAGCAGGGTTTGCTGCTCGCCCTCCTCCTCCTCTGCTGCTGCTGCTGCAGCAGTCTCTTGCTGCTCTGCTGCAGCTGCGCGATGCACTCTCTGATGATATTCTCTGTCGCTGGTCAGCTGCTGCTGCTGCAGCAGGAAGCAACTGCAGCAGCAGCAGCAGCAGCAGCAGCAGAGTTGCTGCAGCAGCAGCAGACCCTCGGATTGCTGTTGCTTGGGCTCGTGCTGCAGCAGCAGCAAACTGCTGCAGTGCCCCTGGTGGGGCTGTGCATGCGGCGCTGCTGCTGGCGGAGCAGCAGCTTGTTGGGTCTCGTCGTCAGCTTGAGGAAGCAACAGCAGCAGCAGCAGCAGCAGCAGCAGCAGCAGCAGCAGCAGGAGCTGTCCCTGTAAGACACCTGCAGCAACTTGCTGCTGCTGCTGCTCTCCTACACTCACTCAGTGCATGCGGGGTCCGCCCCAGGGCTTGTCTGCACTCTTTGCTGCCTGGGCTTAGACGGGCTATATACGCTCAGCAGCAGCAGCAGCAGCAGCAGCAGCAGCAGCAGCAGCAGCAGCGGCAGCAGCAGCAGCAGCAACTGCAGCAGCAACCGGGAGAATACGGCGATGAAGCATTCGTGTGGCAGTAAGGAGGGGATTTTTGAGGGCTGCAGTGTGCTGCTGCTGTTGCTGCTGCTGCTGTTGCTGCTGTTGCTGCTGCTGTTGTAGCTGCTGCTGCAACAGCTGCTGCTGCAGCAGCTGCTGCTGCAACTGCTGCTGCTGCTGCTGCTGCTGTCTGTGTCTGCAGATGCTGGGCGGATATATTTCTGTCTCTGGTGGAGGTGCAGGTGCGGAGGCTTCACTATACGCAGCAGCAGCAGCAGCAGCAGCAGCAACAGCAGCACCAGGAGCAGCAGCAGCAGCAGCAACAGGACCAGCCATAGCAGCAGCAGCAACAGCAGCTCTAGTAGCCGCAGTAATATCAGCAGCAGCTGTAGCAGCAGCAGCAGCAGCAGCATCAGCAGCAGCAGCAGCTGTAGCAGCAGCAGCAGCAGCAGCAGCAGCAGCAGCAGGGTCTGAAGGTGTTGTGTGTATCTGTCTGTGTGTGTGTGTTGCTGCTGCAGGCGGATGAATCTCTTGGGGCTGCAGCTTTGCTGCTGCATGCGCAGCTGCTGTCTCGGGCCCCGCAGCTGAGTGATGCGGCGCTGCTGCTGCTGCTGCAGGCGCAGCTGCTGCTGTGCTGCGGCTCCCCCCGCTTGGGGTGTAGCCGTTTGCTGCTGCCTTCAGCAGCAGAAACAACAGCAGCAGCAGCAACATCTGCAACAAAACCACCAGCTGCTGCTGCAGCTGCAGCAATTGCAGCAGCAACGGTACCAGCAACAACAGCTGCAGCAGAAGCAGCAGCAGCAGCAGCAGCAGCAGCAGCAATGCCGTCGAGCTACTGCAGCACGACCTTGGTTAGGGAGGGGAGGAACCTGCTGCTGCTGTCTTTATCAGAGAAGGCTGACGAGCCAACCCTTTGCAGCAGCAGCAGCAGCAGCAGCAGCCGCAACAGCAGCAGCAGCAGCAGCAGCAGCGATGCTGTGTCTGTGCTGCACATGCTGCTGCTGGAGGCAGAAAGGAGACACAGGAGCTGTCGTTTGCTGCAGTCGCCGCAGCAGCTGCTGCTGCTGTCTTTCGCGCTGCACTTCTTTGAGCTGCTGCGGCCTGCTGCTGCTGCTGCATGCAGCAGGCTGCAGCAGCTAGCTAGCCGGCTTGCCTGGAGGAGGGAAGCAATTGCAGCAGCAGCAGCAGCAGCAACAGGAGAACCAACTACAGCAGCAGCAGCAACAGCAGCAGCAGCAGCAGCAGCAGCAGCAGCAGCAAAAACTGAAGCACGCACTGCATGGAGCCGCTTCTGCTCGCGGCCATCGCCCTGCTGCTACCAAGACACCTCCCTGCTGCTGCNCGCACTGCATGGAGCCGCTTCTGCTCGCGGCCATCGCCCTGCTGCTACCAAGACACCTCCCTGCTGCTGCCAGCAGCAGCAGACAGCAGCAGCAGCAGCAGCAGCAGCAGCAGCAGAGGGGCGCTGCAGCTGGGTGTGGGGCTGAGCCACTGGACAGACCGATGGGTCTGGCGGTTTGCTGCTGAGGCGGTGGCTCTGCGTGCAGCAGCAGCAACAGCAGCAGCAGCAACAGCAACAGCAGCAGCAGCAGCAGCAGCAACAGCAGCAACAGCAGCAGCAGCAGCAGCAACAGGTGCACCGAGCTCTGCTGCTGTTGAGGGTTTATATTTGGGGCCCTTGATTGAAGGCTGGGTTGCTGCAGATGGCTGCCTGCATGCAAAGGAGACAGAAGATGCTGCTGCTGCTGCTGCTGCTGCTGCTGTGCTGCTGCTGCTACCCCGGCCTAATCTATGGTGAGTCTCTCCCCGTGCTGCCCCTGCTGCTGCTGTTGTTGCTGCTACTACTGCTGCTGTTGCTGCTTCTGGTGCAACTGCAGCAGCTGCTGCTTTTGCTGCTGTTTCTGCTGCTGCTGCTGTTGCTGCTTCTCCTGCTACTGCAGCAGCTGCTGCATTTGCTGCTGCTGCTGTTACTGCTGCTGCTGTTACTGCTGCTGCTGTTACTGCTGCTGCTGTTACTGCTGCTGCTGCTGCTGCTGCTGCTGCTGCTGCTAGAGAGAGAATATGTGTGTGTGTGTGCGGCTGTCTCTGTAGGCTTGAGGAGACGCTTACAGCGGAGACAGCAGCAAAAGGAGACAGAGAAAAAGAAGGTAAAACAGCAGCAGCAGCAGCAGCAGCAGCAGCAGCAGCAGCGAAGGAAGAAGAGACAGATAAAGAAAAGGAGACAGTAGAAGAGCAACACAAGGAGACAGAAACAAAAACAAAAAAACAAAAGGAGACAGAAACAAAAACAAAAATAAAAAAAGAAAAAGAAAAGGAGACAGAAGACAAACAGCAACGGAGACAGCTGCTGCCTGCAGCAACACTGCGGCTCTTCTATGGCTACCTAGTTAAAGCTAGCAGCAAACAACTTGCTCTCCTCTGCTGCAGCAGCAGCAGCAGCAGCAGCAGCAGCAGCAGCAGCAGCAGCAGCAGCAGCAGCGACAGCAGCACCAGCAGCAATAGCAGCAGCAACAGCAGCAGTAGTACAAGCTGTAGCGACAGTAGCAGCAGCAACAGCAGCAGCTGCAGCAGCATGTAGATTAGGGGAGTGGACGGCCTGTGCTGCAGCAGCAGCAGCAGCAGCAGCAGCTGCTGCTGCTGCTGCTGCTGCTGCGACTTCTGCGGGGTTGTGCTGGGGTGTATAAACAGAAGCAGCAGCAGCAGCAACTGCTGCTGCTGTTGCTGCTGCTGCTGCATGCATGCTCATTGCTGGCTGTTGATGAACCAGCAGTGCTGCTGCAGCTGCTGCTGCAGCAGCTGCCGCAGCTGCTGCTGCAGCACTTGCAGCTGCTGCTGCTGCAGGAGCAACAGCAGCAAAACCTAAAGTAGAGACTAGCCCTAAACCCTAAACCCTAATTTGGGGTTTCATCTTCTTAAGGGGTTTAGGGTTTAGGTTTTAATTATTTTAGTGCATCAACTTGTCTTTATTTTTTATTTTTTTTTTATTTTATTTTCTTTTATTTGTGTGTCTGCATGCATGCGTTTTTGGGGCTGGATGAGGGGCTGACACACGCAGGGAGACAGCAGCCTGCAGCCTCGACCCACGAGCTGCTGCTGCTGCTGCTGCTGCTGCTGCTGCTGCTGCTGCAGAAGCAGCAACAAGAACACTGGCACCAACAGCAGCTACAGGAGCAGCAACAACAGCAGCAGC